CTTCTTCTTCTTCTTCTTCTTCTTCTTCTTCTTCTTCTTCTTCTTCTCCTCCTCCTCCTCCTCCTCCTCCTCCTCCTCCTCCTCCTCCGTTCTACTCTACTGTTCTATACTGTTCTATTTTCTGTTCTGTTCTACTCTACTCTACTCTACTCTACTCCATCTCCAAGGTTACCTTGTGTGAACTCGACCTCCAAACTAGATGCTGCTTGGGTTCTCGGAAATGCAGGGGGTGGGTCCCAAACTGGGTCCCCTTGTCTTCCTTGCAAAATTTCACTTGAGCAATATTGGGCGGGGGGGGGGGAGGCATTTCAAACTATTGCTGCAGCTCATTAAGACCCAGATTTCCCCGCAGTTGGTCCCCCGAAGAAAGAGAGGGGTCATTCAAAGGTGTTTCCCTGTGTTGATTCTCATGTAAGTTAACCAGGTGAGAGGCGCTTCAGCCGGGGACGCAACATCCACTACGCTTCCCATTAAAGCGGGTGCAAGTTCGCGCATGGTCTCCTTCCTGTAAATAGGTCCTCCCCCGGACCAAAAAGGCACATTCAAGGTTGCGCAGAACAAGGGCTTCATCCCCTGCCTGTCTTCCTCCCCCCACCCGCTTAAGAGAAAAACCCAATCTGCAGGTGGTCCTCAACATCCGACTGCAATTCTGCCCACTGTTGTTAAGCGAGACAGTTTTGAACGGAGTTTTCCCCGTTTTGCGACCGTGCCCCATGCTGGTTAAGCAAATCGCTGCAGTTTTAACACAGCAAGGGGATCGCAAAGTACATCGGGTTTCCCCACTGAAATTCTGTCAGTAAGTGAGGTGGTTGTTAAGTAGAGGCTTTGCAAACCCGTCTTGTCAACAGTTGTTAAGGGAATTGCTGCCACGGTTAGTCGCCTGGTTGTTAAGAGAATCCGGCAATGTCACGGACATTGCTTGTCAGAAGGGCCCAAAAGGGGATCGCTGCGACCGTCATAACTACAAATCAGTTGCCTGAATTTTGATCCCGTGACCGTGGGGAGGCCCTAACCATCCTGAGTCGCTTTTTGCAGTGCCCTTATGGCAACCTTGGTCACTAAACAGGCCGCTGTAAACAGAGGACAACCTGTACTTGGACCACAAAGCTAAGAGGGCAGAGGGAAACCTTGGTTCCGCTCTCCGGCAGGCTTAGCCATGATGGCGCAGTGGTCAGAGTGCGGTACTGCAGGTTCCTTCGGCTGATTGCCGGCTGACTGCAATTTGGCAGGTTGAATCTCACCAGGCTCAAGATTGACTCAGCCTTCTGTCCTTCCGAGGTGGGTAAAATGAGGACCCAGATTGTTGGCAGCAAGAGGCTGACTCTAAACTGCTTAGAGAGGGCTGGAAAGCACTATCAAGCGATATATATGTATTAGTGCTATCTTCCTTCCTTCCCTCTCCTTTCCTCCGTCTCTCTCTCTCTCTCTCCCTCACTCCCTTCTTTTCTTTTTTTTCTATCTACCCTCTTTTCCTTCTCCTTCCTTCCTCTCTCTCTCCCTCCCTCCCGCCTTGCCTTCCCAGTGGTTAGAATGCAGTATTGCAGGATGACTCTGTCCATAGCCAGGAGTTCGATCCTGACCAGCTCAAGGTTGATTCAGCCTTCTGTCCTTCCGAGGTGGGTAAAATGAGGACCCAGATTGTTGGCGGCAAGAGGCTGACTCTGTAAAGTGCTCAGAGAGGGCTGGAAAGCTCTGTGAAGCGGGATATAAGTCTAAATGCTATTGCCCTTCCTTCCTTCCTGTTAGAATGCAGAATTGCAAACAAACTCTGCCCACAGTCAGCAGTTTGATCCTGACCAGCTGAAGCCTTCCGTCCTTCCGAGGTGGATAAAATGGGGACCCAGGGGGGGGGGGGGGGGTGCAGGCAGAGTCTGTCTCTGCAAACGGCTTAGAGAGAGCTGTAAAAGCCCTAGGAAGCGCTATATAAGTCTTAAGCGCTAGCTTACACTCAAGACTTCTATAGCGTTTCCTAGTGCTTTTACAGCTCTCCCTAAGAGAGAGAGAGAGAGAGGAGAGCCGAAGCAGAGAAGGGGGGGGGGCCCCCCCAGGCGCTCTGCACATGTTCAGAAGCCCCTCCCCCCCCCCCCCCCCGTTTGCCCGCTGCTCTTCCTTCCTCCCGCCCAGCAGGAAACCCAGATTTCCTCGCTCGGCCCCGCTGCGCCTCCTCCGCCTCCTCCTCCTCCGCTGCCGCTGCTGACGCCGCCCGGCGCCCCCTCCCGCTTCCTCCCCGTCCTGGGTCTGCCCGCCCCCCGATCGGAGGAGGAAGGCGAGGGCGGGGCCTCCGCCTGGGCCGCAGGGAGCGGACACGGCCAGTCCACGCGGGGCAAGAGAGAGAAGCGGCCGCCGGAGGAGGAGGAGGAGGAAGAGGAGGCAGCGCCCCGCTCCAGCATCCGCCGCAAGAGGTGAGGCTTTGGGGGAAACCGACGCGGCTTTGCCTTGCCGGACACGCATCTTCTTTGCACGCGTGGGCTTCCGGACACGCATCTTCTTTGCACGTGTGCACCGGGGCGGAGGCGGCACCCAGGATTTCGGACCCGAAGCCGCCGCCCCCCCCCAAAAAAAAAATTACAGGGAAGAAGGGAACCGGGGGACGTTGTGCAAAGCGCCGCTTTTGCAAAAAAAAAAAAAAAAAAGGCGCGCGCCTCCCTCCATTCAGACGTCCGGCCGGGCAGACGCGGGGGGGGGGGAAGCTGGCTTGCCGCCCCCCCCCCCCCCCCGCCCCCCGGAGCCTTCCCGTCCTCGGGCACGCGCCCGGGCGGCCCGGGGGGGGGGGGGGGGGGGGGCGCGCTCTCGCCCGCCCCGCTAGCGACCATATGGCGCTTTTGCAACGTGACAGCAGCCGCTTCTGCTGCTGCTGCTGCTGCTCGGGAGCGCGCATCCGGGGGGAGACCCCCCCCCTTTTGCCTTGCAGCCAGGAAGCGGGAGGAGAGGATGCGCGCTCCCGGCTTTCGCGTTCCCCCCCCCTCTCTCTCTCTCTTGCAGGCGCGCGCGCGCCCGAGAGATGCCCGCGTCTTCTCATCGCCGCTGCTATTGTGTGTGTCCCCCCCAAAAAAAGCAAAAAATAATAATAAATTAAATTAAATCAGATTTCCCCCACCCCTCCAAAT